AATCAACCTAGGAGCCTTTTGATCGGGGGTAGTCAATTTTACTGGTAATTATTCGGGTGCCATTCTAGTATATTTTCAAGAAAAAACATAGAAGAAATGAAACACAATGGGGGTGCTTTACTTGCAATATTTCTTAAACTTAAATTTAGGTAGCAAAGTACATATTCCCGGACAGTTATTTTAAACACATTGCTGAACGCAGGACTGTTCAGCTAGCAACCCAAACGTGAATCAGTGTCTGGTAACAGCAAATAATTACTGAAGAAGGTGCAACATTTCGAAGAATATTGCTGATTAAGTGACCAGCCACGTCCTCATTTCCACAGGACAACAATCAACGCAATCATCACTCCACCACTCTCCACCACTCCGCACCACTCCCCACCACTCCCTTCTCCTGTCTGTCAATCCTCAACTCCTCCTTTCCATCTCTCGGTGGCATGGCAGAAAGTCGCAGATAGAGAGGCTTGAGAGGACATCCCTATCAGTCATCAAGATGACTCACTCCCTGAGAGGCGCCAGCAGACTGTTATCTGGTGGCCACGACGACTGCTGTTGGCCTAACACTACTGCTTCACATACTACTGCTCTCTAAAAAGTGGACAATCGAGAAGGCAGCATTCCATTCCCAGAAAGCAAATTTTCGGCGGTCCTGTGATGCTAAGACTTGATTGGGGGTGGGGGGGAGAGGGGACGTACAAAGAAGCAAGCAAATAACAGCACACTGCCACTCGTATCTTGCAATTATTACTGAATTTCTTGAAAAATTACTGAGAGCAGCTTCGTCATCTAGAATGATGCATTTGTTCCACCCAAAAGTAGGGTCAATTCTGCACAGTTTGGAAGCACATTTCTCGGTACATTGTCATGCAACAAAGTGAAAGTGGCAACATCGGCGGCTCATTTGGGAATTGTATCTTTCTCTCCCGCTCTACAAGAAGGATGAATAGATGAACAGCGGGTGCCATGTAAGAAACATCTGTTTACAGAGGAGTCTGATAACCCTTCGATGCAATGCGGGTTGATGGGAAAATGCGAAAGAGGAAAGTTGATGCCGTGGTGGATTAGTCAGCGTGTGTATTTTCTGCGCACTACAGACACAAATGCTGTGATAATAACGACTCAGAAAATCCTATTAGGCACCATCCACTAGGTCATTCATTCATTCATTCGTATCCCCATTTGCAGGGTCCTCCTCTGCTGCAATTGTGAACAGACAAATGTAGACTGCTGATACGTTGCACCACCAACTTATTTGGCTGTGACCACTCACTTCACCCACGTGGTCGCACAGAGACCTACAAGCAAGCACACTTTGATGTAAAATTCTGCCAAACATGTGCGATACAAATTGTAATCAAAATTTATTGCATTGCCAACTGCACCATGAAAGCCTCGCATCCCGATCTCGACGCCTTAGTCGCCCACCACAGTGATACTCCGATTGTGCCATTCTTCATGATTAAATCGGAAAATGTACTCTACTCTACTTCTCAATGAATGGGGAGACTGCCTTCGTAGCGAAGGAGCCGAAGAGAGCAAAGGAGCTGAAGAAAGCAAACAGAGAGGGCAAGACATCACTGACAATAATGGAGAACACTGGAGGCGACCTATTGACCAACATCTCAATGTGTCGATAAGGATTGTGAAGCTGTGGATTAAGGCGGTTGGTGAGAGGACGCCTCACGTGTTCGCCTTCTCTACAGCCTGCTCAGCGACGTGTAAGGCTCAGAAGTGGGGAGGTGGGAACAGCAGTAGAAGTGGATGCATCGACTGTTCCGACTGTGAGTTACATTGCTTCTTGAGGCGTGGTTGAGAGGTTAGTCTCAGCGTGATTGAGCACAATGTTGGGAAGTGGTTGATGTCTGCCACTGAGGCGCACATGAGCGTCATGTCTGAGGTCCACCACATGACGCATTCACTCAGTTGTTAGTCAGCCAGTCAGTCAGGCAGTCGGCCGGCCACTTAGCCAGTCATTCAGTCGCCACGGTGTGGGGCGGCATGTATTCACCTGTGCTGGCTGTTAATTAGAGCATCTTTGAAGGCGTGAGTCTACAGGTGTGTGTGAAATGAAACAACACGGAATGCATCGCCTCTCAATAAGCGACTTCATTTGGGCTACATCGGTGCCTCTTAAATGTGTCGTGTGATGTGTGGACGATAATGGCATGTCACCTGTGAGAGATATCAACCAGAAGCGCTACTTGCTTCCCAATGGTGTAAGTTGAGCAAGATTGTGGTGAAACGCTGACGAGAGTTGAAGCAGCACGAGTTCCAACGAGGAATCAGTTCACCGGACTCTTTCTCTCTACGGAGAAGGCAAAAGGCATTACATCAGGCATTGCACTGCATTCTAGTGTGACCACGTAGTATCTGAGTGTTGCGAAGTAGACTGTCATAAAGACTGATTGTCGGAGCACGTAACCATCGTCCCCACTGATTTCCGTCAAGGTCCATCAAGGACAAACTTAACCCAAATCACCTTGTCACTGCACGTGACTCACGCTACTTCACCCCACTCCAATCCACCCCTACCACACCACTCAACTCCACTCGTCGTGTTGCTTACTCTCATTCCTCCTCACGTGCAAGCATCGATGTGCCCTGACATTAGGCAGACACACATGCAAACAGACACAGACAGACAGACGGATAGATAGATAGACAGGCGAACCTACGTAGGGATGGAGGTGATGCTAGAGATAAAGAGAGGTGAGAAAAGGCATGGCCTACAGTTGGCAAAGCCAGGGCCTGTTCGCCAAGTGTCTTCATCTGCAGGTGGTGGCGTCGGCGTCTCGCCAAACCTCGAGCAAATTGAGTGCTGCAAGCACACCGACCGTCACTCAGCTGACACGGTGACAGTCCGCCTTTCCGTCTTTGCTGAAATTCCACTGAGAGGCGATACGATGCACCGACGCGATCGCACTACTGCCCTTTGAACAAGCCACTCTCCTTCCTCTCATTGCCAGTGAGATGGGAATAAAAAGAAACCTCGCATTCCTATTTTGAGAAGGAGATTTGTTTCGGCGGCAGCACAACGCTTTTGAGGCGTATTTGCAGGCGGATGAACAAACGAACAAGTGAACAAAGGCGTACCGTTAAAAAATAATGCAGTCAGCGTTGCGTTAATCTATTGAACAGGGAGAGGAAGTGAGAGGTGACCTTCGAAACACGAAAGACGAAATGGGGACTCTTTGGGTATCCGCAATGTGCATTTGAGAGCACACAAACAATTCCACTGTCGTGCGATACGCTCCAATCCGAGGCATCGACACTTCTATTTACTCCACCTCCTAGACGGACACCAACTGAAGCTTCTTCACTAGTCGTCTAGTGAGATGCAGTGTGCATCAACCTCAATTCGCTGTCAACCGATGAAGTCGCACCTGTGAATGAGTGCAACTCAAAGGCGAAGATCTCGACCACTGAGTGATGACAAGTGTGCATAGGTGGAATGATCACATGTGGTGCCATTGGAATGGCAGTTAGACCTTAAAATGCATCCATTTGTAACACCGACGGCCTATCAAATGCTCCTCTTTGCAAGCGGGTTGCAAAAGCCACTAAAGCTTTCCACTAGTCATTGGAATGGCAAATGTCTGAAAGATAGGGTGTTTGGAGTAGAATTTTGGCAAATAATTACGAAAGGCGGAAAAGTATTTATTTAAATATATGTGAGCGAATAACCAGTGGATCAGATTTGATCTACTGGAGTAGCTTAGGAGGATGTTTTTGGTGGTGTGAGGGAGATGGGTGAATGAATGGACTGGAAGGTGTTTGGCAGTTGGAGCCTGGTTTAGCCCTGAAAAAGTGCAACTGATTGGCTGAAACCTGACGCACTTTATTTCAGGTTAGTGGTGAACTTATGGCGAT